ATCCCCCCCAACTATTCATTTCCCACCGATGTGGGACAAACATTTCTGCCAACTATTTTAACATCCCAGGTATAATGCTCACAAGTCTCCTGCACTCTTCAACTACTTTCGGCACGGATGGATTGAGTTCAGGATTCTTTCCCTTCTTGTATAAGTAGTAGCCTCTTCCGTCCTTCTTGCCTGCATTTTTAAAATTAGTTTTTCCAAATCAATAGCCAATAGGTAGGTCATTGGAATACATCCACAGAAAAAAAAAAGACTGCTAACAAAAAATTTTCCTCACAATATGACTAAAATTTATTATCACGAGTAAAACTATAGCAATTTTGATTCTTGTTCATCTAAACTATTTGATGAATTCCTTGTTTGCACTATTACGAAACAATAATAATTTATACGCAAGACATATTATATCCTCTATACCTGTATGGCCATTTTCCATCATAAGCTGAAGTAATGGAGACTGGAAAGTGCGATCTGGAAATGCTGCAGCAAACCCCTTGACTACTGCCAGATATACATTATATCCAGACAAGTCAAAAAGCCTGCAGAATTACAACAAGCAATTATAATGTATCATATTTCAAATGCAAATATTCTGTAAAACCACCGGATGTGTCATTACCGCTTCATACATCCTTTAAGCAAACACTCATTTCACAGAATCCCAAGACTAATTTAACATTTCTAAAACTTTAAGTTTCTTACAAAAGAATATTAGAGAACATAGATCAATAATTTTTAAGCGAACACATAAGAAACAGAATCAGGAGAGAGGATATTACTGAAAAGGTCCAATTCGCATGCCAAATTCAGTGCTTACTCGATCGACTCTGAAAACATCAACCCCCAGATTTGCCAACATGTCAGCTCCTTGCATGTATGGGAAAAATGTCCGGTTGACAGCAAAACCAGTGCAGTTTTTAACCACTATAGGAACCTTTTCGATGATCTTAGCAAATTTAAGAACGTCTAGTATTACTTGTTTAGACGTTTGTACAATTTCCAAGAGCGGCATCACATGAGCAGGGCTGCAAAAGTAGATAAGTAAGGAAATTCAGCATAAACATAAGGAATCAAATGTGCTTTGCAGATGAACTCAAGGACTTAATCTGACAGCTGTATTTGAATAGCATATCAAAAGACAATTTAGAAGCACAAACTATTTTCCTCTTTGACCATTCAACAAAACTGTGCAGTGAATAAAAGATATCTTTACAACATTCATGTGTTCTCTTATACTCCATTCAGAATGCTCTACAATGTAAGTTGTGTAATATTTGATATTGTTTCTCCGTTTTTTCCTATTAGGTCACTAACATGTTCCTTCTATCATATACAAAGGAGAAACATAGAAGAGAGCAGTAAAAAATATATTAAAGCTTCTGCTTCAATACCCCTAAGATGCTTCAGGATAAAGGAGCAAACAAAACAAATGGAAATGTATTCTCGACTTGACCAAGTCCTGATTGAAATCCGAAGTTAGTGGTTGCTACTCCCCTATATCCAATCTAAGGCTTTCAAAATATTGATAATGTACAATGAGATTCACGCTGCTATAATCTCGAGAGCCTCAAATCTTTATTCTGATACTCTGAACAGTCATAGTCGAAGATATAGACACTAGAGTAAACATTTATTCAATTTCAGGTACCAATACACTACTAATCTAGTTTCATAAACCCCTACTAATCTTTATTGTGTATTTGGTCTTTGTGCCTCATAAACCCTACTAATCTAGTTTCACTATTACCATGCAACTTATGTATATATAATTTTGACTGTTCACCACCCTTCTAGGGATTGGACAAAGGAAAAATTCATGACACTGCCTTCTAGTTTTCCATCATGTCCCGCCTTGTGAATGAACTTCTAACAATATGTACTGCTTATTCTGTTCCCATTTTCTATACTTGCTTACATTTTTCACTTCAATTTATTAACAGAAAAGCTTTTCAGTTTGCCTATCAAAGAGTGTAAATTTCTAAATTTATATCTCCGTAATTTGAAAATGACATTCAGAAAGCGGGAAACATACCTTCTATTGATTTAAGTGACTTTTGCAGACAGTCATAGTTGATTTCTTTGAGAATGACTTGTATAGAACTGAGTATAAGAGCTGTGGAAATACCAGAGCCCATTAAACCACCACCAACAACAGCAACCTTCTCTATCTTCCGGTGTTTAAGCTGACAGTCAGTAATGCCTGGTACCTGTACATAGTAGAAGTTCCAATTTTTTCAAAGGATGACCAGGCAATACAGCATTTTGAAACAGTTCTTAGATGGGCAATGTACCAAATTTAATAACATTGAGATCCTAACGACATTTGTGGGATGCATAATCAAGACTTGCATGGTTATATAATATTTTTAAGAAGTCGAACAAATGTAAATATCTGCAGGAAGTCAGTGCACTTTTGGACAATGCATATACACTAAACCTCCAATGCAGCCTCTAAATACAATGAAATTATCAAAATAGTTACTCTCTGTAGAAATTAATGGAATGAATTTAGATACTAAATAGATTTCACTTTATGTACTATGTATAGGACTTCCCTTTCGCTTAACTCATAAATTGGGCTGCTGAGCAGGATAATTAGAGTACTAAAGGGCATATTAGGTGAGTCAAGTAACCATGAAATTGCAGCGCTTATAGATTGTACCTTTGATGTTGCACGTTCAGCAAAATACACATGAAGCAGAGCTCTAGCAGATTTTGATAGGACTAATTCTCTTAAAACCTTGTCCTCCTACAAATAGCAGCAACCCATTAACTCGACAACTGACAAAATTAACCAGATTGGAGAATCTCACGATAAATGTTCGAAAGACAATCAAAATAACTACAAAAAAATAGTAGAGATAGAAAATACAAGATCTCATGTAGCAAATACATAAATCTGCACTTGCATCTTTTTACTAAAAGTTTTTGCATGAGAGGTACAGAACTTTATGGAATGCTTTATATAAGCTTCACCTTCAAAACTCCAGCATAACCTCCAGAAATGATGCCCTCTTCTATCACATCGAGGCAGGCTTTATAATGAGGCATACTTGGAGATGTCTTCAAAACCTTTTGCCTAGCAGTTTCCAGGATAGCAGATGACTCGCGTATAGGTTCAATTTTATCTGTCCTTTGAAGTGTATTAAGACGGGCTTGCCGTCCTTCTGCAATATCTAATGCCCAGAGACGAGAAACTGTTAAGAGGTCTTTGAAAGATACCACATCATTGATAAGTCCCAACTCCTTCCCTTCTTCAGAAGTAATGATCTTGGATGACTGTCACATGGTAATTACCAGTGTTTAACAAAAAGATAGGTGGAAAGGGGAAAATGGAAAAGACCCAAGCTTTGCGCGTTTAGATAATCTGTTAACCCCGCCAAACAACTTAATCAGTTCAAACATTAAATAAATGTTACAAGAAAAAGCTCTGTAAGAATGGAGTATCTCTTTTGCCAGTTTCAACAGAACTACGTCAGCATCAATCCGTTGATATTGTATTTATTATTTGGTCACTTAACGCAGACTGTGATCGTTAAATTGAAGAAATTCTCATCTAATAGAGAGAAGTCCATGCAATTCACGAGGCACCTCGCTGCATTGGACTAATCAATTAATCAACAGAAACCATCTCCCCATGCAAGAGACGGAAACACCAATTGATAGAAAAATAAATCGTTAGAATATGGCTTACCATCGACATATCAATGGCCTTTGATGTCCCAACGAGCCTTGGAAGACGCTGAGTGCCTATGAGCATATGTGTGGCTTTATCAGGAAAGTCAATGGATAACGGAAGCAACAGAAAGCACTCAGTTAACCAACAACAATTCAACAAAGCCAGACATCATTACCTCCACAACCAGGAATAATTCCAAGCTTAAGTTCAGGTAGACCAAGCTCAGCCTTCGGCGTTGCAATTCTAGCACTGCACCCCTAGAAAATATCAATGATATAAGCATGTTAGCCAAAAAACTGAATGCTACAAAAGTGTAAAACCATAAAGTTGAACAATACAATTTGCAAAAAATAACAAACCATGGCCAATTCCAAGCCACCACCAAGGGCAAATCCCAACAGAAGGCTTCTTCCCATCTACAATAACCAACATCAGGACAAATAAGTTATTGCAGAATTTGTTAGAATATACTATAAGCCATGCGTATTGTTATAGTATTCTTTATGAACAATTATTTATTTACTTGTTTAAATTCAATAGTTTCATTTTAAATAGATCATGTGTTGGTTTGTGTGTCCATTGCTTACATAGTAGATGATTTAGTGTATAGAGTTTAGCTTATACACGGAAGATTAAATCATCGGTTCTTGTAAGACATAAAAGTTAATGTTCACAATCTAATGATGGAATTGGACAAATCATCGGAATGATTGTAGCACAAGATTAAATATAATTTATCTTGATTATGGGAATGGTTTAATTCCAACTTCTTGTGCTAGTACATTTTGTATGTATTGAACGGATCAAGTAGAGATGAGTATTTTATACTGACTTTATAAAATAATTTCTCTAGTCCATTTAATGTACTTATACTCTTAATCCTGATATAATTATTATTAGCTGTGTATGTCACTTGTTGTTTTGATTTATTAAAAGGCGAGATTCTTTCGCGAGTCAATAAGCCTGGTAAATTGGATAACAATGATATACATTGGCGAAGTAATAATTAGTTGATGGAATCCATGTCTCAATTTTGAGATTGATGATACTCCTTTATGAAAGCTTATAAGTTTTCATGTGTAAACCCGGCCGGTGAATTTTGTATCCGACACATGAAATAAGTTAAGTGTAAGTCTAAAGGAAGTAATCAATAAATTAAATAGTCAGTAATTTAATTTGATTGATTAGTATCTGAATCTTAACATGGGGAGTTAAATAAGGTTTTATGGAAGAATTTCGAAATTGAACTAAGGAGTGCAATTACGAATTTTTAGTGGAATAATTCGTAATTTATTATGATGGAAATTAGTTTCAGAATTTCGAAATTAATATCATAATAGGAAGCCTTGTTAATTAAATTCTGTGGTCCCTACTGTGCCTAAATAATAGAAAATAGTGGAAACTGTTACTTAGTGGGAAAGAAAACGTGGAAACCGTCCCTTAGTGGGAGAAGGAAACCTAACAGGTTTTGAAAACGGTTTTGACCTAAAAAACGCAGCTATATATATGGATATAAAGGGTGGATGTTTTTTTACATGATTCTGACTGCGGTTTCTACTAGAATTTTGCCCACCCAAAATTCTCTATTTTCGGTTATTGTTTGGGTAACACAGTAGAAGACTGTGGAAATCTGCTAGTGTGTTTTCAACTGAGGAACTGGAGAACGACCTAGATTTGTTGTGTTTACGCTTCATGAGATAATCCTAAAATCTCCATACATGCTAGTTGTTTAGATTACACGTGAATAAGATTCTGTTATTGCTTTCGCTGTGGTATATATTCCAAAAATTGGTATCAGAGCTTACTCATGTCTAATTAAATAATTAGGATAAACCATAAGGATTAATATCATGTTCTATATGCAAGTTTTGAATTACATGCAAAGTTTGTTTTTCTGAAAACCTGCACTGTTTTTTTTGGTGTGATTATCTGTTATGGGTTGTGTTGATTATTCTGAAAACTTGATGTATCCTTTTAATATTGGTGATGTTGAGTTAGAATAATCTGAAAATTGAATTTTATCATGTAAAACGGAAAAATACGTTTTGCTGAATTAGGACAGAAAATCGGAGGTCAAAAAGTTGACGGACTCCGATTGACCTGAAACTTGACAGGTCCATGCGAAACGGCCCAGTGATCAATACTTATCAGGTCGCTCATGATGTAAGCCATTTTTCGGGCTTTCAGGATCGTTTAGATGGTGTTTTGGACGTTTTTTTTTTTAATTTTCAGAAAAATTTTCAAAATTTGTGTTTGAGTTGTTTTTAATTCAGTGGTGGTAGGGATCGTTTCTTATGGACTCCAGGGTTAAATTCTGGTGATATAATNAATTGTGGGGATCAATTCCCTTGGTCCCCGGGCTTAAAAAATCAGTGATATAATGTTTTTACACGTTGAAGTAGGTCTTCTTCCATATCGGATAAAAATATTATGAATAATCACTATGTTATACTAGTCATTGATTATTTGTATTTACTCTCCATCTGAGTATGCATGTTGGTTCAATGGGACTAATATATGTTGAATGTTGATATTCACTTGGCTTAAATTAACAGTTTACTCTCCATCTGAGTATGACATGTTTAAGTTTATGGAGTGAAAATCTGTCATTATATATGTATATTGCAAGAATAGCTTCTTTCCCATCGAAATTTGTTGTTCAAGGTGCATAGATTGTATATATATAATGTGTTTTGAATTTTAATGTTCATAATACAAACTGATTTGATCTATTTAAATATTTAATGTCTCCCAGATTAACAATGACTGCTTTTAATCCCCTTACTGCTATTCTTACCCAAAACAAACTTGAGGGTCCAAATTATGTTGATTGGAAATGAAATTTGGATATTGTTCTAATTGCTGAAGAGCACAAATTTGTGCTCGATGAGGTGTGTCCAGAAAAACCTGGAGATGATGCCACAGATGATAAACAGAAGGCTTACTAGAAATGGATTAAGGCTGATGAGATGGCGCGGTGTTACATTTTGGCAT